ATATATACATGATACTCAGACGAATAAAATTTATACTTAAGCAATTTGTATTTAACAAATGTTAATTGATATTTTATGACATAAATTGTAAATTGTGTTAATGAATTGTAAATAATTAATTTCTGAAATAGTTGGTTTTACTTCAGTTATGGAGGTCTATTATGGTAAATGTTTTGAAAATGATTGATTTATATATTTATTAAATTGATTGATTGATTGACTGAAACATTATTTGTATTTTACATACCTCATTGAATTTGAATACAGGTAAAAATATACTTTATAAAGATTAATATATTTTCTCCATGATATAACTGTATGTAACTGGTACAGGATGATTTTACCTAGGTGTTTCAAGAAAAACCTTTAGTTTCTGGAATGCTAAGTGGATTAGCTTTTGCTAAATTATAAGTTAATAAATTATTATTCGTTGACATTAATGATATAAACTTGTGTATTGATGGAAAAGTGAAATAATGGGCCGGAATTAGTTTTTTCTTAAGTCAATATAAAATGTACATTTAAAAATTTGTATATGGTATTCATTTTGTGTTAGACCATCATTATAAAAGACACAAAAACTTTTTTTTATTATGTACTCTTAGTTGGCATAACCTAAACATCATAATAGTAGAAGAATATTTTTAACACTATACGCTAAACACATGCTTGTTTCTGTCAATTTTTCCTAATTTAAGAGTGTAACATTTGGCGCCTTAAGCACTACTGTAGTGGATATGTGCGATTTATAATTCTTATTATTATTACTATATCTGTGTGTGTCCATTTCAATTAGCCGTAACCAATAGTGAGTAACATTAATGAGAGATGTGATGCAAAGTGGGTGGAGTGGCTCCTCAAACCAGATGTTGTATTTGTATATAGAATAAATGTAACTAAAAATAAAGCTGAGAGGGAGGCTTTATTTTTTCTGTATATGTGGCCTGGTATTTGTACATTTACTAGTACTGTACATATAATATAATTGGTATTCTTCTAGTACTACTGTAGTGTAATAATACGGGTATTTTTCTATTATAGAGTACAACAATCGTGTCGTCACAACACCAGGTGGCTACCGTTCATTTTGCCTAAATGACTTCATAATCTTAATGGTTTAGAATAGGCTTTCTGGAATAGGCATTTTAAAACCTAATAATACCATCAAAATGTACTAAAAACACAAAATCTCACATCATCGAACACACATTTAATCATCAATTAAAATTTACAAAGAAAAACTAAGATACAACATCTTAATAATTACGTTTGAAATTGAGATCAATGGTTTGTCAGTGAAGAAAATGGCGTTCGGTTGAACTCATTTTGTGTCGCTGATAGCGACGGAGAAGTATCACGTGGTATCGTGACTTAACACTCTAGTAATCTATGGTCTTGTTCTTGGAATACTATAATGTACCAAGTATATTGTATTGTTTTATTACTATTATTATGTAACTTGTCTTCTAGTAGTAATACATGGTATAATTGTTTCAGTACTAGTACTTAGTAGCTGGACCAGTAAATTTCACTTGAAAAAGTTTTCTGAAGTTTAGAACAGTGTATTGTACTATTGACGCTGTGTTTCAATTCCATATTTAGTCAAATGTTTCATTAATGTTTGGACTTTCATTACACAGTGATATTACATAACTGAATGGACTAATTAGGTTATGATGAAATTAAATGAATATGATTTGATGTGAATTCTTTTTTACGAGGATTTATTTATAAGATCGTTTGTGTGTACGACGTACGTACCATGGCTGGCGGAACCGGGCCCCCACTATCTGGCAAAAAATATATTATGTCTGGAGATTTTTGTATGATCGGAAAGAAATGCGAGAAAAGAAAGAGGGAAGGAGGAGAAGGATGGGAAAGAGAATGTTTATCCAGTCCCCGACCGAGTTACATTTTCTCGCAATTCACATTGACAGATCTGGGGGAGGGGGTCATGGGTCCTGACCGCTCCCTTGGGCAACAAAAAAGAAAAAAAAGAAAAAAAACCCAATTTTCTACCCTTTCTTTTTGGTATTTATCGATTCATGGAAAAAAGAATATGCATGCAACTACTCATTTATTTATGTATGTATACACACATAAAATAAAAAATGATAAAAATTTACCTGACCGTCTTCAAGAGGGGAAAACCTTGAATTTTGAAGAACTTAAAAAGTCATTTAAAAGACAATTCCGAAGTCAGGAAAGCTTATTTCCCTGCATTCTAGAAATCGAAATTTTCTCGGGGGAACCTGGACCCCCTTTTCCTTTGGGGTTCATTGGTTCATTGAATCATTTTCAAGAGGGGGAAACCTTAAATTTTGAATAAATTAAAAGTAATTAAAAGACACTTCAGAAGTCGGGAAAGCTCATTTCCCGCCTTCTAGGAATCAAAATTTACCCTGGGGAACCTGGACACCTTTCTTTGGGGTTCATTGATTCATTGAATTATTTTCAAGAGGGGAAAACCTTGAAGTTTGAAGAAATTAAAAGTAATTAAAAGACACCTAAGAAGTCGGAAATGCTCATTTCCCGCCATCTAGGAATCAAAATTTTCCAGGGAGAGGACCCCCTTTTTTCCTTCGAGCTTATCCATTCATTGAAAATTGAAAAAAGAATACGTATGCAACTACTAATTTTTTTTTTATGTATGTATACACATATAACCGGTCAATTTACTGTAATAAGAATGAGAAAGTTTATCTGACCGTTTTCAAGAGGGGGAAAACCTTGAATTTTGAAGAACAAAGTCATTAGACACCTAGCTGAAAAGTCGAGAAAGATCATTTACCACCATCTAGAAATCAAAATTTTACAGGGAGAAGTCCCCCGGATCCCCTTTCGTTTTTGGGGAAAATGTTGACCCCCGCACCTCCTAGGTTTGATTCCAGATCTGCATGATTCATATTTCCATTTATCATATAAGTTCCACCCCCCCCACTTTGAAAAACGTTCCGCCCGCCGGCGCCAGTGAAATTACAACCAAAGATCTTAGATTACAACTTTCCACCTTTATAGAGGGCAGCAAACACGATATTTGAAACTCTCGTCATGCTTTGTGTACACAGTGTTTACAGTATTTATTTTTACTTATTCATAGTTCGTCGGTAATTTCCAGAATTTCACCATACGGTGTAATGAAGAACGCAACAGGAAAAGGTTAAACATTTAGGTATGTATTTTTGTAAACATTCAAACGTTCCATTTACCACGGTTAATATCTTCATCGTGCGGTCTTTTTGGTAGAACTCGGCTATTCCTAGGCTTAGTGCTAGGCTAGGCCTAGTAAAGTAGTAGCAGTAGTAGTAGTAGTAGAGTAGGCCTGGGCCTCATGCATGTGTGAGGAGAGTCATGAGACATTAGGGAGCTTTCGATTTGTGCGACGACGCGACGCTAGAACGTAATCACTCATGGGTGACCGACCTAACTGGCGTCCTCCTACGTTCTCTGCATATACCAAAGATCTTATAATTTTATACACAAGATAGCATTCTCCGCGATTTACGCGTAACAAATAGAAGCGTCGGTCAAGGTTCAAAAGTTTCCAATTTAGCAAGAAGGCGCCATTCATGCGCTATTATACCAAAGAGAAAAAGTAATCAGTTTTGGAAGAGGGCATCCTCTCTGTTACCATGGATCTGAGATGGTTCCTGTTCTGCTGTTCACAGGATTGATACCCAAGGTAAAGTCGCGCGGTGTACGGTATGGTCAGAGCGGTCAAGGGTCAAAAGTTTCCAATTTAGCAAGAGGGCGCCGTTCATGCCTTATTACAGAATTTGCACGCGTAAATCGCGGCGTTTATAAGATCTTTGATATATACATAGATTTGGCGAGGTGACCTTCACGTTCTCGCATGCGCAGATGAGTTTTAGTGACGTCATTACGTGTTCTACCAATGATACTAGAAATACAAGATAGAACACTCGCATAGCAAAAATGAGGCAGAAATTGGGCCCGACGTAGGCGGTGCCCTTCTTTTTTATAGTGCAAGTTTTCTATACTTGGGGCCCCGATGTACAAGGCGCCCTTCTTTTGTATATCCAGACGCACACTGCGCCCTTCTTTTTCCACTATATATTGGAGGAAAACTTTATCACTAGAGTGCATTCGGCCATACGATTCTGAGCTATATTGTTCTTTTATTCTTACAGATCCATGATTAGCCTTAATTGTTTTGTGTTTTTTGGATAATTAGCAAGGATTTCTACCTCCGCCAAGGAGGTTATGTATTCAGCGATGTTACTCTCTGAGTGTCTATTTCAGTTTGTTAAAATGTTAATATATTTATAATATATAGCTAATTTTTTGTTTAATGTCAGTGCAATATTTTTCCTTTCTCTATCCTTTGGAAAACGATATAAATGATGACCTTGTTTGTATAATGTGTTGCAATTTATTGCACATCAACGTCCTCTCCAATGCCGTATGTCGCCATAGTGCATTGCGGTGTACAATTTTTTAATTGAGAATTGACAATTAAATATGCGACAACTTGGAAACGAAAGTTTGGTAGAGGTTTTTTAGATCCAGCCGTACGGGGCGCCCCATTGTTTGTATTCCCACCATGCATTTCGGTGGAACACTTTTTTTTCTGTGGAGAACTCTATCTTGTATTTCTAGTGTCTTTGGTTCTACGTCCTACCGTCGTCATGCAATCGAAAGCTCCCTAGTGTCACTTTTCTCAGGCCTAGGCTAGACCCCTTTCAATGTTTACATATTGGCCAAAGATCTTATAAACTCAAGATAGCGTTCTCCGCGATTTCCGCATGCAAATTCTGTAACGAAGTGTACGGCGCCCTCTTGCAAAACTGAAAACTTTTGAACTTCGACCATAGTGTACGCCGCACGACTTTACATAAGGAACAAATTAATGGCGTAATGTGAACACCCTATCTCGGATCCATGGCAGTGACTAGGACTAACTCTCCCAAAACTGATTACTTTTCTGTGCCAATTCACTCTTCTATTTGTTACACGTAAAATCGCGGAGAACTCCATCTTGTGTTTATAAGATCTTTGATATTGGCCTGGCTGAAACGCTGGTGGCGCCCTACACTCGTAGGCGAGAGATTAGCAACAATGCACTGTCTGGGATATCTTTATTTTTGTTGTGCCAAGTTATCTTTTATTTTCTTGCGTTCAATTTCATGAGTATGTGTGTCTAAAGGTGCGTTCAGGTGAGTTTTTTGTGGAGTCAAACACGGAATAAATCTGGAAACGGCCCTTTAAGTTTGAACGGGTGTTAAACGTGGACGTGCTCATATCTGCTGATAATCCAACGTTGCAAATTGCAGTAGCCTGGTTGACGTCGAACTTTTATCTAGATATATATCCACTTAACTAGATAAAAGTTCGACGTGAACCAATCAATTATAGCTAGATAAAGGCTTAAAGCCCCATTCGTGGCAAAATTTCACTAAAAACTGATTTTTTTTTAATAGAAAATATGCATTTGCATTACTCCAATTATTATAAATCATGGAAAAATATTGGCATGAATTTTAGGTTTACGCAAAAGAATAAAAAAAATGAGAAATACAGACTATTACTCATAAAATATTACCATTTTCTCGACGAATTCCTCGTTACTAGGCAAATTCAGAGGTTGTAGATCGCATCCACTGGAATACTCTCGCTTTTATGTATACTTTATACAGTCAATAAAGTGCGCCCTCTCTAATGAGATTAGTTTTTGTACTTCGCATCTCGCACAATGCGGTCGTTTGATTAAGGCAGAGATATGTTTGTTTAAGTGTCAAAATCTCAGTCAGAATCAGTTTTTTAACAAATTTGAAATAATTCCTATGAAATATTATATTTCACAAGTTTCATTACTAGCAACGGAAAATATCATGTCGACCTTTTTTATGTGTGATAACAGAACCTAAATCGAGGTGAGGCTAGGCCTAGCCTAGCAGCGTTGGATAGGCTAATGTTTCTTAGTAAAAGAGTGGGGTGACGCAGCTGGGTGACGCAAGTGTCCAGGGAAACTTTATAGAAACTTATCATTTTTTGAAAGCCGGTAAGAACCCTATGTACTGTAACTTTTCCTGTTCTTGGCCGAACACACCCTAACTGGCATGTTACACATGTTTGACATGCTGGTTAGATACCCTAATACTTAACAATGAATTGCTCATTTCCAGAGATCTTGATTGACACAGCAGTTAAGATGATTTACAGATTTTTATTATGAACATCGCTGTCAGTCCATTCAAGACTTTACTTACTTGCATCATGGAGGAAGAAAATAGTCCTCCATGCTTGCATGTTATTTTTTTATGTTGATATTGGGGAGGAAAATATATCAACCAGAATTTTAGTTGATAGAATATCTTACAGTGTAGACAATTCAATTTGAACATTATTGTTGAAGTTTTTTGATTCTGTAACTTGAGAATTTGCAATTTAATCACTGTATTTGAAATTAAATAATTCCTACTTTTGCTCGTTTGTATAACATTTGCAAATGAAATTTATTGACTCGTACATAACAATGATTTTGTTTTTCAGAGGTCTTATAGGCTTGAATGATGGTGGTAAAAACAAGAAGCAAGGTCCTACTGGGTGATGGTTCCCTATTGAAGAAGAAGGAATATGAGAAGATAAAGGAGGAGAAGGAAGATGAAAAAAAGAAGGCAAGAAAGAAGAGAAAGGACACAGGCGATGGAAAGGATTTGGACAAAAAAAGAAAAGCTCATATTCTTGATGACACTATCATTGACGAGTCTGCTGTACATCTCAAAATTAATGTGACTAATTTTAAAAAAATGACAAGAGCAGAAATTCCTGGTAAGGCTAAGATGGGTTGTGAAGTTACAAAGCAAGATGAAGGGAAGTCCCATTGGCTAATTACAGTAGGCCTACTGATGCTTTTTATTGTTGTTGTCTACCATATTTTTGGTGTATATGAAGAAGATACAACATTGATTGAATATGTGCAGAACTCCTCTTCAAAGGAAGATTTTAAAGTCAAACTTGATCATCTTAGATCATCATTTTCTTCTCAGACTCCTTATTTTTGGAAGTTAATTGGCTCAGTGTCAGAGGATGTTATTGTGTCTAAGAATCCTAAAAGACCAGCTGTGATCCTACTTGCAGGTGGTCCAGATGCACATCAAACATTAGATAACATAGCATCCAAACTTTCAACGTCTTATAGTCATTTGGATGGAAATTCAGGTGTAATTAAAATTGATGGTTTTCAATATAAAAATACTGATCCACATAACACGAAAAGACTGATAGATGAAGAACTTAAAAATGGGTTTAATACTGGCAGACAAGTGGCGATTATTCATCATTTTGAGAGTATTCCAGCAGAAGCATCAATGATATTTCATTCCTATTGTGAAAATGATAATGCCCCTTTCAAGAGGGTTGTCATTATATTTACAGTCCACATGAAAGAAAAACTGAATCCAAAAGATAACATTAAAATAAATCAAAAGAAAGTTGAGCAACATTTAGAAAGTCAGTGGAAGGATGCAGTAGACAAGGATCACATTGAAGCCATGTTCAGTCGAGTTGCAACGGCAGTTGCATTTGTAACTCCAGAATGAAAATTATTTATGGGGAAAAAATATATTGTACTTGTGCCCACAGTAGTGTAGTGCCTATAGCACTTGGGGGTGAATCCACAGGCCCCCAGTCCAACAGGACTAATACACAGTACCCTCATTTTAGCCCTTTTAAAGACACCCAAAACTAGCAAATTTAAGCAATGCAATTCTTGGGGAGCCCTCCTTTTGCCACCCCCTACTGTAGATTTCATCGCTGCTCATCTCCCCTCCCCATCTGGAAAATCTAAGGGCCAATACTGCCCAGAATGTTTGTAATACGTAATACAAAATACTAAAATACTAAAATAAAGTCCAGTCCTCTAAATACCAGTCTTCTATGCTTGTGTGCTGGGTGAAATACTATTTTCCAGGAACCAATGTAATGTCAATTACAGTATATCAATTTTTTTTTCTTTGAAGGATCCCGTACAAAGAAATTTAAGTATATGTTTGTAATCGACTGATGTAGATTCATCTATCCAGGTTTACAATAATAAATAATAATAATTATAATTATTAATTATAATAGTTTTAATTGATATTTATTATATGTTTGTAATCTTTATATCACAATATTAGGGCTTCTTCTTAGATCCACAGAACTTTAAAAATTTGTTTGAAATATGTTAAGCCCCATAAAAAAACTATTAGTTTATCACCACCCTCCCTCATCACTTTTGGGGAAATTCTGATTTTTTTTTTTCAATCAACATGTACAGTATTTTTATATTGAAAGGTTGTCAAAAGCTCAGGATTTCTTGCAAATATGTTACTGGTACAACAAAAACATATTTTTTAAATATAAATTTGATTCCATTTATATGACTTTTTATATATGTGTCCCTAACCATTTATTTACTTGTGAACATCGGTAAAATGGGGGTGGGGTTAGCAAAAAAAAAAAAAACACCTCCCTCCCTCATCAGTTTTTATTCTTTAATAGGGTGATAAACTAATTTTTTTTTATGGGGACTTAGGTCAGAGTAGACTGCTTACATTGAGAAACAGTGTTTCATTAGAATACTCTATACCAATAAGATCTTGTTTCTACTGTAATAAATTTTGAAGGAAATAATTGTATACCATCTGTGTTTATGAATTACAATTTGCTTATATAGAACCTCAAGATTTATTTTTTGTATAATAACCCACAACTTAACAAGAATCAACTTTAACAAAATAGCCTACAGTATAATGCATTAAAAAGAGCTATAGCGCCCTCAAGTTTACATATTTTGGATACTAGCCATAGAGCTATTAAACAACTAGAGTGCTGACAAGATGGCGGAGCAATGCAGAGTTGTGTATGTGTACCATCCAAGATGGCTGCTGTAGGAAAGCGCCACCTTCAGGCTTAGTATACATATTATTACCATAAATAAGCCCTCTGACTGAATATTATATCATTAATGATAATTAGTATTGATAATGAAAAATTATTAAACTGTCGTAGCCAAAAAGAGGCCAAGTAGAGCATCTTATTCAAATTTTAAAAAGAATTAAAATCACCCATACACCGCAACACTCGAGTTTCAAAATACGGGTAACTAGCTGTACTAAACTTTCTGTGTAAATTGAGGGCGCAATTGAAAATGATAGTGCTCAGGGGAAATTTGATTGGCTGAATCTATGGCAGCCATCTAGGATGGTACACACACAGCTCTGCGTATTTCGAAACATGGAATACATTGCTGTTAGCGCTCTAGTATTCTTATTATATCTCTATGATACTAGCCTATTTGGAAAGGCTAGCACCCTCAACTTGACGTATTTCGGACAAAATGTTGCATATTTTGGACTGATGTTCACCAACGCTAATGACTTTAACCAGGACTAGGTTAACACTATTAAGTTCATCAGGCAAATGGTACAATATGTAGTCCCAACCTTTTTTAATTCACAGATCATAAAGTCCTATCCTATCGATATTCCACCAATAGGATGAATTATAGTTCTAGACAAAAGATGACAAACAAATTTCATTGATAAATCAGCGTAGCCCCTGCTGACCCCAGGTTGGGACCCACTGCAATATAGGACTCGCGGGATATAGTACTTTGGACAAGTGCTGTACACATAACATTTGACGATTTTCTTATTTCTTGACTGTCCCTTTTATTGTCAACCTCCTTTCTGCAATTCTTATCTTCTCCACTCATGGTCATGCACATTTATTATTCTGTCATTCATATCAAATTCAATACTATAGTATCTATCTGTACAGCCACAGAAACTTGTTTACAGTACAATATTTAGAATGTGATTTGTGACTGCATTATGTCAGTAAATATTGTCAAAATGAATGACTGATTTCTAGGCAAGACTCTTTTATACCTTGTTTAGCCAACCCGCCGCCTGCCAATGATGATTTTGAATAAAAATTAAATTTTTATTTTTTGGCCAATTACACCTATCGCCATGATAAAAATTTAAATAAAAGTTTTCTTTTTACACTCGCCACTGCCTTTAAATCTCCAAAAGTAAATGTATATTTCTTCCTAATTACAGTACAGTATATAAATTCAAAGCATTTAACATCGCATTACTATACAAAAATAAGTTCGCGAAACAAGGTATAAAAAAATTCTCGCCTTACGTGTAATAACATTCATTCTGAAGGCTGGTGAGGTTTGGCTGGTGGTGGATTCACAACTTCCCAAACCAAAATATCAAATACTATAATACAGTATAACTTGGTTTCATACAGTCAAGTATATATTATTTTCCTTCACACATTGAACACAAAAAGAAAGTATCACCAGTAATTGATGCATACACATTATATTAACTAATTTACTATGGAGTAATCCCTCCT